TTCAGCTCTTGGACCTCCTCATTTCTTCCAATTGCTTTAGCATCGCTACACTGGAGAGTAAGTTTCAGGATGTCTCTTCTGACATCCATTTTAACCTTTTCCTTCTTTCTTGTCTTCTCAATGACTTTTTCCTTTCTTCATGTATGATGTTCTTGATGTCATCCCACAACTCTTCTCATCTTCGGTCTTTAGTGTTTAATGTATTAAATCTGTTCTACAGATGATGTCTAAATTCAGGTCAGATATATTCAATGTCGCATTTTGTCTCTCGTGGACTTGTTTTCATTTTCCTGCACTATATCTGACAGTGTGGCTCTGCTATTCATAAGGTTTTCAGTGACTAAATATTCGGAAGTAGTTTGTCACTCTTTCTTCCTAGTCTGTCTTCATCTGGAAGGTCATCTGAAACCTGTCCACCATGGGTGACCCTGCTGGTATTTTAAATGCCAGTGGCATAGTTTTCAGAATCACAGCAACTCACAAGCCAGCACAGTACTACAAACTGACAGATGAGTGGTGGAACAGTAATTTAGTGGACATGAAAAAGATTAATAAATTAAAGATAAAAAGAAACAAATATTCATTAAGAACTTTCCACAATAGACATTTATATGCAACAATTTATGAAAAGGGTATTCTCATAGTCTTACAAAATATGTAACTAAGTCCCAGATATTTAAGTAACTTGCCCAAAGTTACACAGCTAGTATTTAGGAGAGCTGGGATTTGAGCACAGGGTTTCTTTGATTCCAATTCTCCCTATACTTTGTTAACTTGAACTTTGGGAAAACGTAAAAGATGGTCATATATTTTTTAGGAATTCTAGCTAAAGAGACAGTAAAAGATCGAACCAAGGAACATCTTTTTGAAGATAAGAAACATTCAGGGGAAATTACCAATTACAATACCTACTGCTACTTTGGTAGATTCAGATATTGAAACATAAACTACACATGCTTTAAGCTCAACAATTTTTTGTGAGCAGTTGTTGATTTGACTGGGTAAGGGTGGCAGGGAGGGGTTTTGGAATCTTTGAGTCCATTGAATATTGTGAACTCTTCTTTCCCTGAAGAAGCCGAGGCAATTGTTGAAACCAAAATGGAGAACAAACCCACCTCCTCAGAACTGTAGAAGATACAAGAGAAACAGAAACTGATCAAAGAGCCAGGATCGGGAGTGTCCATTGTTCTCATTACAACCCTTCTGGTTATTCCGGTGGTTGTCCTGCTGGCCATTGCCATATTTATTCGGTGGAAAAAATCAAGGGCCTTTGGAGGCAAGTAAAATGAGCCCCTTGAATTTGAAACCTGCCTTTGAAAGAGTGTTTGGCCTATGATTACCTTCAGGAGTTTGGTTGTGATTTTTTTTTTTTTTTTTTTTTAATGCTCGCTACCTTTTTTGATGTTTTTGTCTATGATCCAAGTATTGTCTGAAATTAGCACAGTAGAAAAGATGTGGAACCACTGAAATTGGGATAGATTAAATTATAACCTGTAATATTGTCCTTAGCAATTGGATTAAGTCCAATTATGTCTCCATGTGAAATTGTGTATATAATAATGTCATTATTAATTAGCTAGGGATCAGAGAAGAGGAGGAGATTCCTGTTATTAGGAAAGGGCTCAGCTTTCCCTGGCCTATTACTTTGGAATTTTTTTTCCCCTCACCAGACTGAATCCTGACTTTCTCCTAGCTACATGACCTTGGGCAAGTTACTTAATCATTCTAAACCACCATTTTCTCATCTTGAATGGGAATAAAACACTTACCTCACAAGGATATATGAGGATTAAATGAAATTATGTGTACAAAGCATTTATCACAGTACCTGACACTTAGTAAATACTACCAATGATTGTTATGACAGAAAAATCACAAGAAGTCATAAAAGATACTGTTCTAAAATTCAACTTTCTTGAGAAACCAACTATTTCTATAGTAAACCATTTGGTATTTTTTATATAGCTGTAAAGGGTTCAGTATTCAAGTCAGTGTTTTGTCAAATCATTATTACAGGTTACAGGAGCTGAATTTCTTTTTGGACATCTAGATAAATAAATGAATAAACAAATAACCTCACCAGTGATTCATAAAACTCAGTAGCAGCCCCCTAGTTGCATTCCCATCTCCTAAAAGACGAGGGTCTACATCTGTACCAGGGAAGAAGTTCAGGAATAATGGGAGAGAGACATCATTTAATCAGGAAACAGCATCTGATCTTATTTTGGGCCAGGGCAGACATGGAAAGCATTCAGTGCCCACGGCAAAGCCTTGACACAGAAAAGGACATGGAAACAGAAATTAGAGGATTTAATTTAGCAAGTTTTGTGAAATGGAATTTTTCTTAGACATTCTTGTGAGTTTGATCTTCAAACTAGTAAAACTGCAAAAAATACAATTAACTTTGCAAAAGAGACTTCTCTTGAGTCCCTATTATGAGTATGGAAGTATGGTAAGCAAGGAGCAAAAATAATAAACATAGTCATTGTCTTTATGGCATTACATGTAAGTTTCAAGATACCAAAAGTCATGTATGTCTTGTTTACTGATGTGTCCCCAACACAAATAACAGCTCTAGGCACTAGAGGTTCAACAAACATTTCCTGAAAGAATGAATGATTGTGTAAATGGAGCTTACAAAATAGATGGCACATGAAAGTTATAATACTGCAATACTATAGACCTACCTGAGATAGGATCAGGTGAGATATGGGGACAGATGGCAGGAGCAGACTTGAGAGAGTGCTTAGGAAGTCAAGAAGATTTGGTCTCTCCCATTTTCTATTAAGCACATGGGACATGCCACAGATACAGAAAGTTGAGTTTACAGGTGTATTGCAAAAGCTGAGAGCCAGATTGAGCCATATCAAATAGCTGTGATTCAACCCTTTCTATATTTAGGGGAAATTTTTGTTTTATATGGTTCAGTTTGATTCAAAACATAGTTGTCTCACTTTTTTCAACATTTAATAGATCCTGTCCAATCTATCCTAAGGTTTCTAGAAAACTCCATAAAGGACCTTTCATTTATTCACCACACCCTTATTGTGTGTCAACGCCATATCAACCACTGTGCCAGGCATACGGTATACATACAAAACTAAGATATAGATGTTATTCTTGTGGGGTTTACAGTCTAATTTCTTGACTTTTTATAATCTGACCAGAGTCTTCCCTTCTTATCTATTTCCTTCTTCATTTTCTCTTCTACTTTTCCTCTATAATTTATCTATTTGCTAGCCTTCTCCATGCTGCTACCTCCACTTCTGATTAGAGACATAATCTAAGAACCCCAAGCCTGGCTTCTCTGACCTTTAGGAGAGTGGTAGAAGCTCCAGGAGCCCAATCTCCTGTAAAGAAAGAGAGTCAGCCCTTTCAGAGCATTTGGGTCCCTTCTGTGCTTAGAAAATATTCAGGGTGTCATGTCCTTAATCTTTACTTACGTTTTACTTGGAGTCCTGGTGCGGCACTGTAAGATAAGCGCTGGACTGCTAACTGCAAAGTCAGCAGTTAAAACCCACCAGGTACTCCTCAGAAATCCTATACAGGATCCCTATGAGTCGACAACAACAATGAGCCCTGGTGGTGGAATGGTTAAGCACTCAGCTGTTAACTGAAAGGTTGGTGGTTCGAACCCACCCAGAGGCTCCACAGGAGAAGGATCTGATGATCTGCTCCCATATAGATTATAGCATTGAAAACCCTATGAGGAAGCCCTGCTCTATCACATGGGATCACTGTGAGTTAAAATTGATTCAAAGTACCAACAACAAAATAACTCATTAGGAAAATGGCATACATGGAACCTAAATTTTCTCAAGCAGGACGTGTATAGTTCTAATACAGCAAATCATAGACAAATACTCCTAAATTATAGTAAGCAAAACTTCCATTTTTTTAACAGATTTTTGGAAATTTAATTCTACCTTAATAAGAACTTTATATATATATATATATTGTATCACAAGAGACCCATCTGTATTTCATTTCATCAACTCTGCCTAAGCAGATAGGATGCTACTCACCAGGCATTATTTTTAAGCACATTAAACCTCACAGATATGTAAGGGTCATCCCTGACTTTTCTTTTCTCAGAGGAGGAAATTGAGACTCAGGGAAATAATTTATTTAGACAATGCATTCTAAATAAGAGTTAAGAGTTAAGAGTCAAGAGTCAAATCCAGCTCTGGCTCTTAGCTATTATCACAATGATATGTTATCTTAAACCCCACCCACCCTTAAAATTATATACAGACAAGAGCTGGGCCTTGTTAATGATGTATAAATTCCTGATTTTGTGTTGCAAGTTGAGCCTATACATTGAGGAAGGTGATTGGGTCTCATTTTGAAATGTGCCATCTCTGTCTGGCAGATTCTGAACACAAATTCGAGACAAGCTCAGGAAGAGTACTGGGAAGACTTAGAGGTATGCCTGTGACCTTTTAGAATCCTTTAAACTTCAAGTTTCATTCAAAGTCAACAAGCACATGCCTTTTGACAGCAAAAATATATTTCATATTTTATCTCTGAAAATTAAACCTCCCTTGGTGTTAAAATCTAGAATGCAAGCCATAAAGTGTGTGGCTCTGGTAACCAATTTCCCAGTTTTGTTTTTCCACCTTGCTGTTCTGTAGTATTCCATTCTCTTGCCCTGCCTTTTATCTGGCTTCATTTGTCTTCAGTAAATTTTCTGTCACTCCTGTCAGCATGTCACTACTTGTCATAGTGAGGATGACCTTTTCAAAAAGTCATTGACATGAAAAGCTGCTCGAAGAATGCCAATTCCAGAGAGCCTGGAAAAAGCAGGAGGTAAAAGTGAATCTGAAATATTCCTACAAAAATATGTATCCTGAGTAGTTTCTTTTTTACCACCACCATCAACTTTTATTTTAGTAAGCCTGTAGAGTAACATCTATCTGGCTCTGTAGAATAAGTCTCTGTGTATGCTACTCTTTTTTTTATTTCTATCCTTGCACATTCCCCAGCTTCTAACATTGTTTACCATTTAAGGATTGACAAGGAAACCAAGAATCATTTGTACAAATGTTACCTCAGTTCTGTGTTGTTATTTGCTTCCTTCAGGGAAAGGAACTGGAGGCTTAAACCTTGGAAACTTCTTTGCAAGTCGTCAGGGCTACAGTCGGAAAGGGTTTGACCGCCTTAGCACCGAGGGAAGTGACCAAGAGAAGGATGAGGATGAAGGAAGTGAATCAGAAGAGGAGTATTCTGCACCTCTGCCTGCGTTGGCACCTTCCTCCTCCTGAAAACCTGGCTTTTACTGAAGTGGAGCAAGACGTTACCAAGAATGCCAGATTCCTTCCCTTTAGCACGTTAAAAGTTTTGTGTATTTAATTGTAAACTGTACTAGTCTATGTGGGACTGTACACATTTTATTTACTTCTTTTTGATTTGGTTGGCTACTGTTTCTAGTTGAGGAGTTTCCTAAAGTTCATAACAGTGCCATTGTCTTTTTATGAACATAGACTAGAGAAACAGTCCTCTTCTTCATGGCAGTACTAATTTGAACAATGGAATGTTTGCTCATTTACATTTTTGAGGCTCTTCTGTAGATGTAAATTACACGCCCTCTCTGCTTGAACACAGTATTTCTCCAACAGCACCCCCATTGCCAATGTCTTTCTTTGGTGCCTTTCCTGTTCAGCATTCTCAGCCTGTGGCAGTACAGAGAAACTTTGTGCTACGCAATGACAAAGCTGCTAAATCTCCTTCTATTTTTTTAAAATCACTAACATTATATTGCAATGAAAAAAAGAGAAAAGTATTTAAATTCTCTTTTAATTTTCTTCAGTTGGTGTGTTGTTTCTGGGATGTCTTATTTTTAGATGGTTACACTGCTAGAATACTATTTTCAGAATCTGAATGTAATTTGTGTAATAAAGTGTTTTCAGAGCATTAGCTGTCAGAGTGTATTTTGGAATTTTTGCATATTGCAGGCTTTTGTATACAACTTTTGTAATAATTAACACAAACCACAGATATAGTAAAATTCTCAATGTCTTCAACCAGAAGAAATGTGTTGTCTTGTATAAAATATAGAAGATATTTTGTTATGTAGCCAATATAAATTGGGAACCAGACTAAGAGTTTACATACATGTGTAAAGCCAGACTTTTTTCAGCATTTAAAAAGAAATTTTACCTGTATATCAACTAGAGGGTAAATACTTTAATAAAAAGTGATCATAGCTAAGAGGAAACCTGTGTCTCAAATTACATATGCAAATGAACTATCAGTGTAGGTTACTATTCATAGTTTTCTTTTCCAAGAAAATTTTACCCAAATTTCCATTTATTTATAGAATTATTAATCTATTACAGTGAATATAAGTTAAGTTTGAAACATCTTCTTTACATCAGTCAATTCAATTTAGTAAATGCATCGTTATTTTCCTTTTTGTAATAATAATCAGATTCTAGAATCCTGTCTTCAAAAGTTCTACTTGCAATTCAGGCATTATTATTGTTATTTTTTGTTGTTGTTGTCATACTGTGAATTGGGTGAAGGTTTACACAGCAGATCATCAGCTTTACATTCAACAACACATAAACATTTTGTTTCATTTAACTTACTGCAATTCCCTTATGTAACTTCACTTATCCTACTTCCTCCATGTTTTTCCTGTTTCCACTCATTCTTTTTTCTTAATAATTCTGAACTTTGTCCTTGGGTAAATGGGCCTCAAATGACTGATTATTCTAAGGTATGCCTACATCAATACTTCACTAGTGTTATTGTTCCCCATATACTGTCTAAAATTGGAGCCATGGGGAGAGTTCACTTCCATACATGAAGAGTGACTAAAGGCCACAGTCTCAGGGGTTCCACTGGTCTCAGTCTGACCAGTAAACCTGGTCTGCTTTGTGATTTTGAGGGTTGGTTTTTTTTTTTCTTCCACTATGTCCAGGACCTTCTAATATAATAATCTCTTTCAGAGAAGTTGATTGTGGAAACTGGGTACCATCTACTTTTCTTACCTCAGGGTCATGGAGACTGATGTTCACAGGGCCCATTAGTGTAGTGTACTAATTGTTTCCCTGTGTCTTTGATTTTTCATCATCCTTCCTGCTAAGAAAGAGAGCCCAATAAGTACTTTAGATGGTTGCTCACAAGCTTTTAAGACCCCACTAAAGAAGCACAGTGGTTACAAGTCAAGCTGCTAACCTCAAAGTCAGCAGTTTGAAACTACCAGCCATTGCACATGAAGCTTTCTGCTCCTACAAAGATATACAGCTTCAAAAAGCCCTATTCAGGGCTACTATGAGTTGAAACCAAACCCACAGCACACCACCATCACCACCAATCACCTGGGTAGGATGTAGAACATTTCTTTGTGGACTGTATTAAGTCAACTGACCATGGTGTCTCCCAAGACTGTAGTCTTGAACCCTGAGACTTAACAACTCGTTTCCTCAAGGTGTTTGGTTATGCCTAAGAAGTTTTCATAATTTTGCTCCATGTATGCTCCACCACATTCATGGACACATTTGCAAAGTTTGAGCATTTGTAGTATATATGACCTTAGGTAGAATCCTGAGCCCCATCTAGAACCTTCCAAGGTGAGCCATTCCCACTTAAAAGGACATGCAGACCAGCCTGGAGTAGCTAGAGGAACAGAATATACTTCTTGAAAGAAAGACCAGCAAGGAAAAACAAGGACAGCAAGCAGTCTGATTGGTTACTACAGAAAAAGCGAATAGTTCACCAGGGAGCCATCAAGGCAAGTAATCAATTCCCTTCAAGACAAACCTCCCTTAAAAGACTGAATCTCAAAGGGAAAACACAAGCAGGCATGTAAGCTTACTGACAACCACATTGGTCTGCTGGTGAGTGGAAGTGGAGGAAAGGTAGAAATGAAGATAGGACCTGAGTACAACTATGTTCCATAGACTCCCATCGACCTTGAGAAGAGAGAAGAAGGGCAAGTTGGTCCGAAGTGTGGTGAGACCTGGGGATTCCTAAGCCCATGAACAAGGACCTAGCCATGGAGGGCTAGAGCTGAGAGTGAAATGTCAGCTGATGTGAGGGTTGACGCACAAAAAAGCCTAAACTTGCAAATAGTACCCATTTGACCTAACTTTGATGGCTTAATGATCAGAACGCGACTAGAGGACAATAAAGAAATTTGATAAAGGAGCCAAGTGTAAATTGCTACAATTCGATGAATCTGATCTATACTATGTATGTAGTAACTCAAAATACCAATTGAGAGGGAACACGTCTTCACATTAAGGATCAAACTTAGCCCCTCTGTACACAGGGTTGATAGGGACGGGCAGCTTAGATACTGACTACCTAAAATCAGAGGTGGGAGCAGGGGCTATAAAGGCAGGAAGTGACTGGCTTACAAGTTTTCAAGAGGGAGTTTAGTTTCAGGGTGTGTAGGAGAAGGTAGAATACCCACTGAATAGTTTTTATTTTGTCTACATGTGTCTAGTGAAAGGAGACGGGATAAGATTCTTATGATTCAGTAGTGAATAATTGTTATCATGACTAATTGTGATTGTCATAACTGTAAAGGTAGAAGTTGTGTAACATAAAGGGGGGAGTAGTTAATCTAACATTCCAGGAACAGAGGACCATAGGACCATCAAGGGAGAAGAGCATGAGTGGAATGTGGAAACCTATCCAGAGAATCAGCAACACTAGAGATGAAGGCAAAGATGATAACATGGAGAGATACAGCAGCTGAAAACTCTAAACTCATGGTAAAGAGAAAGGCTGTGTCCTGGTGGCCAGGAGTCATGCTTGTAGAATGTGCCCTTGGGTTGTTTAAATGATTCCTAAGTTTGTGTACATAAAAAACAAACAAACAAAACAAAACAGAGGAAACAAGCAAATACTGTTCAATGATGATGCATGGAGGGGATTGTAATCATTGCAATTAAACGAAATGCAATAGGATGAGTGCAAAACCAATGTTCTCCCATGTAAACTATCAGTCAATTCACAAGAAAAGCTTTATTTAAAAAGATAAATACCCATGTACAAATATTCTCTGTGAAACTTTTATATATTTGTGGGCATTATCCCACTCTCACACTAGTTCAGACTGCATCTATCTACATATCTATCCATAGATCATCGTTTAATTGGAGAATTTTATGTATCTCTTATTTTTAATTCTTACATTTCTCTGTCTTCCCTGCCTCATCATTTTTTGCCAACCTAAGTTTGTTTGCTTTTTTCTAACATCTTTTTTTTTTTTCAAAGTTCTTTGCATTACTTTAATGGTCAGTCATTTAAATCTCTAGTATTGTACTTTATAATGACAGAGATGCCTGAGGTACTAGATACTTGTTAACTTGCATATTCACTCAGGCATGTTTTTTATCAGTATGTAGAATGTTACAGATTCAATTAACTGTGGAAATAATGCAGTGTGGAGCTGTAGGATCAGCACTGAACTGTGAACCACAGGTTGGCAGTTCAAACCCACCAGCTGCTGCTCAGAAACCCCTATAAAGAAAGGGTTGCTATGAGTTGGAACCTACTCGACGGCCCTTAACAACACTTTGGGGGGCGGGGGGAGATGGTAGAATGGCTTCCATCGTATTGTTTAGAAAAAAACCTAACTTAATTTTCCTACTGATGGAAAAGTTTCTTTACTTCCTACATCGTTGTCAACCTTGTTAAAACTTAATTTGAACATCCTCTTCACCTTTGTATGTATGATTCCTGTCATTTTCTTTCTCAAATGAATATATTTTCCTGCATCTGACCCTTCCTCCTTGTTGTTAGGTACCATCCAGTCAGCTTCAATTCATAGCCATCCTATGCACAACAGAACAAAATACTGCCCATTCCTGCATTATCCTCACAGTCCTTTCTACACTTGAACCATTGCTGCTGCAACTTGCCAGTTCATCTCTTTGGAGGCCTTCCTCTTTTTTGCTAACACTCCACTTTACCACTAGCTACATTTGCTTTTTGTTGTTGTGGACACATAGTTATTTTTTCTCAACAGTGTTCTAATGGCTTAATGGATGTAAAGTATAAATCAAAATGGTATAGGGAAGTAAGAAAACAGAAAATGGGTAAATTGTTTTTTAATTACACAGGAATATATTATACCAATTCATTAAGAACAAATTTGACTCCAAAATTTAGCAGCTAATTAAATAAAAACGTGGCTAATTACATAATTCATGAGACCATTAGACATTTGTATTCTTAATACTATGAAAAAAAGGAATGCTTCTAAGAATTTTCTAACTAAAGTCATCAGCAACTTCCATATAATAGA